ATATCTGCATAATATATCTTTATAACATTAATATTATTGGCTTATTGAAAATCTAAGTTTGGTTTTTAAGTTTTAAATTTTGATTATATATACTCGTTTACACTTAATTTATGTGCATACGGGACAAGTATTGGAACGTAGGTACCCATTTGAATGAAATGTGTTGAATAAACCAGACTTCAATTATTACAATGTTCTAGGTTTAAAAATTAATTAAATCTGAACCCTCAAGTCACGACTCATAAATGATACATTTTTCCATTTCCCGACATCGAACAATCCCAAGGCCCTCACGTGGACTATTGCCGAGTATCCGGGTGGCCCCTACCGAAATTGGACACACTGCTCGACTAAAAAAAAAATATTTATTTTCAACGAACTTTTTACTATAAATCTTTTTTTGTTTCATTTACACTGACCGTAGCATTAGGTCGTCGGGTCGACACGTTTCCGCGAATAGCCTTCAAAATAGTTCCTAGTGAAATCGAAGCGGAACCGCTCCGATCATATTATTATTATATTTGTATCGTGCTTGCAAAATATAAAGCCCCTCTGAATAGGTACCGCTGGATCAAACCAAAGATTGTTATTATTATTTGCTTAGGGCCAGGACGGCGAGCAGACGAAAATGTGGTACAAACAGCTGCAATATCACTGTCAGACGCTCGGATGCTGGAGGAAGAGACGAAATGCCCTGGCCAACATCATGATCAACAGAAACTGTACTTAGGTGCCCGACGCCCGGCGCATCGAACACTGCGCTTATTCGGCGTCATCGTTCTACGGTTATCAACATTATTATTATTATTATTATTATTATTATTGTTAGTAGTAGTAGTAGTAGTAGTAGTAGTATTACCAAAAATACAATTAGAAATCGACAGTCGTTACCAATTATATGACGATTTATTTTTTAACTTAATATATTATTATTATTATTATTATTATAAATTATTAAATTTAACTCGTATTTTTTTATTTTATCGTTCTAAATGCGATTGTTTTTGCGCAATCATGGAATTGGTTAACCGAATTATGAAATAATTATTGATATACATGAAAAAATTATATTTGTACATACATTAACATAACAATCTAATAATCTAATTTTTAAACATTACTTTGTGTAAATGTATTAGAGAACTGTCAAATTGTGAAACTATAAACATGTCTTGTATATACATAATAATAGTATTAATGATTAGGATAATGTTCCTTTTTGATTGTTTTTTCGACGTTATTTGATATTTCTATTTTATCTGTTACATCAACTATTTTTGATGGCTCGCTATTTATTTATTTTCACTTTGTATTCTTGATGTTATTTAAATTACACACACTTATAATATAGTATAATATAATATACAAATACATATTATATATTATAAATACATATGCGTTTTAATGTGTTTTGGTTTTTACCCATCTAGTCCATAATATTTTGTCGTAATAATAAGTTGTAAATGGTACTTTTAAAATATCCAAAAAAAAAAATATTTCTACCAACTAAAATATATTATGAGCAAAAAAAAACTAACTTTAATCTTTTTTAAAAACTTATATATGCACTTACTTTTTAATACTTGACAGTATTGAGATTTTCGTCCCTGTAGAGGCGTAGAGTAAGTGTCTATTGTACTATTGTTTCTTTATTTTTTTTATTTTATTTTAAAGTATTCTTAAAACAATGAAGTCAAGTATATGCACTTGAACATGCTAAGAAAGAGTTTATATAATAAAAATATTTTTGAATTACTAAAATTGCATTTAGGTAAGTACTGAGTTATGTTCAGTAATCCACCACTGCACGTGGTTTAATTTTCTTCTCGTTTATTAAAATAATAGATTAAACGTTTGCCAAATTAAAACAGATATGTCACTAATCTATTGATCATATTATTATATGTATGGATTTTTTTTTAAGCACTTTCAATAAAAAATCTAGACGTTTTTTTTCAATATATTTTGTTGATAAAATTTAACTATTATTATTATTTTATGAAGCTTGCATTATATATTTAATATCATATTCAATTAATTTAATATTTATGTTCTTAATTTTGTATCCATATTTATCAAAAAATGTCCAACGTATTATTCTCCGTTGCTAAATTGAAAAAAAAAATAAATATTTTTCCTATTGATTTTACAGGACGTGTTCTTTGAGAACATTTGAGCTCTTCTGTGTTAATTTCCTATGTTAGCTGTTTTCTTCTTTATCCTTTTCTATTTTTACAGCGTATTCGTGTTTTTGTGATTTCGTTTCTATTATTCTTTATGTTACTTAGTAATTGTAACAAAACTCAAATGTATATAATCGGCAATAATATATAAATGTATAGGTATAAATAAAAACATAAAATAATTTTTGTCTCAATTCCAATTGATCTTACACAAACGTTTAATATATTTAATATATTATTTAAACGGTTTATAATAACTAAAAATAAATATATTGTCCCAACAAAATGGAAATATATTAGGTATATTACATTCTCATTATATTATTGTACATATTTTGAACTTATTCATAATTATTGTAATCTATGATGCAGGAAATATGAACAAGTATAGTGAACAATAATACGACAACATAATGTAATTAGCAATAAAATATTTAAAAACATAGCATATCAGGTAGGTGGTTTAATAAATATTAAAAAAAAAATAAGCCAAAGGAACTAAATAAAAAAATCATAAGACAAATAAAAAATTCGTAAGATAATAATATAATACACCTATATAACTTAATAAATATACATATATAATATATTATATGTATATATACAATATACATACTACTATATTATCCTCTACTCAAGTCAATAACCTACTCGACTGACAAAAACTGGTCGCCAAACACCCCCCAACCACAAATAAAAATATAATAATATTATGTCATTGACGACGGTCGCGGCATCACGGAGTGTATGAGTACTAGTGAGCACAGGAGTGGTGCTGCATCGTTTTCACGGTAGTGGTACTCGGTGGGCATGCGTAAAAGCCAGTAAACTCAACTCGAATAGAGCATATTATTATAGAATAATAATAACAGTATAATGCACACGTTGACTATGTGCGTTTTAATGTCTCTAGTGAATTCACAATGTTTGAGCAAAGGGGTGAGTATATGATTATTTCAAATGTTCAACACGAATGCGGAATGATAATTATACATATTATTTGTAAATATACGACGTAGAACCTAAATATATATATATATATATATATGGGTATATAATACAAACACAGACGTCGAGTCACCTAAAGCCAATTTAAATATACAACTGACCAGATACCGCGTAATAAATAATTGCAGTATTATTATTATTCATATCATTTTTCCAAATGTGATCGATCGGCCATTTGCGGTCATTTCAGTCTCGACGATTTCCGGACCCCTGTAATATAATATGTTGATTTAAAAATAATAATATAAATGAGAACGCTTAGATATCGTAATATTATAAGACTATGAAACTATATTCTTTTTACCTGGGTGGGATTTTCGTTATTAATGAAAAAGTCACTTTATCTCCGTTATCTATATATATAAACAAACAAATTGACAAAATGTATTTTAGGTATATCAAACAGTTTGCAGCTATAATTTATTATCATGGAAGACGAAAGTACTTAAATATTATTAACGGATACATTCCAAGCAATATAAATAGGTATATAATATTATGAACTACAGTAAATGTGTGACTTAAGCGAGTGGGAGGTAGGTTAAAGTAAATAAAAATAATCTAATAAGGAAAAGCACACTCTGTATGAGCTTGCTCGTGGTTCCTAGACGTAATTTACGAGTCTTCAAATGTAAACAGTAATTAATATTATAAAATTCACTGTAGATCGAAATTAATATTTAATACATTGTAAACACGTTTAAACACACGTGATAAAATATACTGACTGTAATGAAAGATAATAATAATAAATTTAAATAACCGTTTATTATTATAAAATAATATTATATTCAGGGTTTCAAAACGTTATTTAAAACGTTATAACTGAAAATAATGACAAAAAAATAAATGAAATCAATAAACGAAAAACGTAAAAAAATCTAATATCATTAAACATAATATATTTTTAATCAAAATGAATGATAAAAAATAAACAATAAACGTTATATAATGTAAAAAAAATTGCAAGTAACGTTATTCAAAATAAGGTTTATGCTTTTTTTTTATTTAAGTCAAACTTAGCATTATTATTGTTTTTGATTCTTGTAGTCTGGATAAGTATGAATCTTACAACTTACAAGTTGCAAATCTATGTTAACAGTAATTTATATTTTTCAAATATTTCATCCCTGTTTGATTTATAAATATTGAATTTAATAGAATATTAGTATATATTTCTATAATTCAAATTTCAATAAGATAGAGAACTGCGATCGTGTGGTTTGGTGTACCTACCTATTAATACTTATATAACATTATTATGCCATTTCAAGTTGAATTATTGATAAAATAAAAATATAATATATTTTTTTTAATAATCTATTATTTCATCATTCATGCCATAATATTTAAACAATATTTTACACCTAAGCTATCACAAACTTGGGCTAGTTACAGCTACTCCTACTATTTACTCCTACTATTACTCTACTATTACTCCTACTATTTTTGACGCCATTTGGCGTCATCCGCACACTATTTTTCAATACACTATAATTTAGTCCGCGTTACAATCAAAAACCTCATTTTCAGTCAGCGTTATCTATAGATATTATTTAATACGTGTGCGCAATCGTACATCGATATTTCTATTTTTAGTCTATAATATTTTTATTTTATTTTGGGATGTTTACTATTACTTTATCAAGTTAATTATCGGTATTTTCAAGAAATTCACTATCGTTGCAATCATTTTTCCATCGTCGGTCGTTGATGAAACACGTACGTATTCACATTGTATTGTTTTTATACATTTTATTTCTTTTGAACGATGTTTTTTATTTCGTTTACTTTCGTATTACTTATATTATGAACATGGATAATACATTGAATGAATCCGGTCCATCTCGACCAAAACGGTTATGCAGTATGAATCGAAATTATGAACAACAAATTGAGCAGATGCTTTTTAATTCTGATAGTGACGAAAATTATGATTTTACCGATTCTGGTAGTGAATATGAATTTGAAAATACTGAACAAGTGTCTGACGATTTTGAGAGTGATACTGAGATCGCGAATAATGTACCAAGTGTAAATACTCAATCATCAACAAATACTAATAATGACGGTGACTGGCAAGAGGAAGAAATTGAATTATCTAATTTTCCTTTTATAAAACGAAACGAAATGCTTGTTCCGATAGAAGGCAAAATAAATCCTATAGATTATTTTTTTATGCTTTTCGATGAACATTTTATAAAACTATTGGTTGATGAAACGAATAATCATGCTGAAACCGAGTTTTTACGTGTTGGTAGTGCACCACGTTCTCGTATCTCCGATTGGAAACCAACAGATAAAGACGAAATGTTAACATTTATTGCATTGATAATTCACACTGGTACCATAAAACTCAACAGATTGAATGACTATTGGAAAACACATCACCTTTTCAACTTTTCTTGCTTTTCAAATTATATGAGTCGTGATAGATTTTTAAATTTATTAAGATGTTTTCATTTTGCACTAAATATTGAAACTAATAATCAAAACCTACCTGAGGATCGCTTATATAAAATTAGACCTTTAATTACATATTTCAATAACAAAATGAATACCATATATTATCCCAAAAAAGAACTTTCACTTGATGAGTCCATGGTGTTATGGAGAGGCCGTCTCCAGTTTCGTCAATACATTCAAAATAAACACCATAAATATGGAATTAAATTATATATGCTTACGGAACCTCATGGATTGGTATTAAAATTTGCCGTTTATGTAGGAGTACTCGATGACTTGGGAGGAAAAGGCCATGTAGCTAATGTGGTTTTGCATTTAATGTCCGAAAAGCTAAATAACGGCCATGCATTATACATGGACAATTTCTACAATAGTTTTGATTTAGCTTCCAAATTAATTGAAAAAAAAACGTTTTGTACTGGAACGTTAAGATTGAACAGAAAAAATACACCACAGGATGTTGTAGAGTCAAAATTAAAAAAAGGTGAAACCGCTGCCAGGTACTCTCAAGGTGTTATGATTGGAAAGTGGAAAGATAAAAGAGATGTTGGTTATATTTCCACCGAATTTAAAAATAATTTAATTCTTTCCAAAAACCGAAACGGTAAAGAACAATTTAAACCTGAACCTATCTCAAATTATAATCGTTTTATGAGTGAAATTGATCGGCAAGACCAAATGCATAGCTATTATCCATTTACTAGAAAAACAATCCGTTGGTATAAAAAAATTGGTATACATATAATACAAATGTTATTGATGAACTCATTTTATTTATATAATCAATATCACACCGGACCTAAAATATCATTGTATGATTTTCGATTATCCATACTCAGTGAACTTTTGCCCAAAAATCCAAAACCTAGATCTTTTTCAGTATCACATACTAATCATTTCCCAAAAACTCACGATGTTGGAAAATCTGGAAGACCTAACAGAAAAAGATGTCATCTGTGTTATTCTAAAGGGATAAGAAAAGATACAACATACTTCTGTCCAAGCTGTCCGGAAAAGCCCAGTCTTTGTCATCAACCATGTTTCAAAAATGTCCATAAATAGTTTAAAATAAAATAGTAATTAATAAATATTAAATAGTCAGTTTCCATTTTTTTTAATTATAGTAACGTGTTCACTTTTAGTTATTTATCTAATTAATTTAATTTTAAAATAATAAGGAATAAAGATGTTTTCATTTTATTAAATTAGAAGTACATATTTACTTTTAGTTATTTATTAATTTAATTGCATTGTAAAATAATAAGTAATAAAGTAATAATTTCGTATGATAGTTGTGAGTAACTGTTTGGTATACCTAGCATAACAAATTTGCTATGACGCCAATTGGCGTCAACGAAAAAAAAACCTTGAATTACTCCCGCACATTTGAATGTGTATTGTAATATGATGAGCAGTGAACGTGTTAATTGTATTTATTTAAATATACTTCTACGTCCTGCCAAATAGTTAAACATAAAATGTTGACTAAGTATTTAATAATATAACTTGTTATATCTTTTTTTCTATTTTATTTTTTTTTCTAAAACGTATATAAACATTATAATATGTTTAATATTTATATCGTTACATCCAACTTATAATTTATTATTATGTTTAATAATTGATGTGTAATGGGCTTAAGACTTGAGTAAGGAAGAAAAAATAAAAATGCCGAAACGGCCAACGCCAAATCTCTCTACTACGCGTAAAACGTTATGCAGTATGCACGTGGTTGATCAACACCTAATTCCAAACCACACAGTTTTAATAGTATACTAGTAATATTATAATGGTAAGAAGGAAATAATAATAAAGTTGAAACGGCCAACGCCAAATCTCAAAACAACTACACGTTGCAGCGAATACGTATTATCTAGGCAAAGCAACGGCCACTCAGCACCGGTATAAACAGTATAACAGTATACCTATACACGTCGCGAGAAATCAAGTGCAAGTCAAAAAATGATTTGTTTTTGCAATTATTGTCAGTTGTCACCGCGCGGTCGCAATCGTCCGTGCGTCGTCGTAGTACATCGTCGCTGCCGCCGCCGCGATGAGAGTAGTGAGAAAGGATAAGCGGAGGGTCGGGGGATATTTACGATATTTTCGTTCCCCGACCCACCGCTATCCATCCCCACTGTTCCGTACGCAAGATCGGTCTTAAAAGTACTTGAACATTTTTGCTTATAACTTATAAACTATCTAACCAATCTGCTAGCGAGTTCCTCTGTTCACATCTGCACAATATTTCTGATCGATTGATACATCATACGACTTTATATGTTCAACCGTCTGCCCTGTAGAGCTTGGCAAAGAATTAACATAAATTAGGACGATTTTTCAATGTTAAAACTCGGTTTCCTGTTATTATACGTTAGTGGCTACTCCGCTATTTTTTTTTACTTAGCGATTAAAGATATACAGGTTGCCCATCGACTACTGATAAGGTGAAATACGAAATTACTACCATGATAATTAATCAGTGGCACTCCAAGCGGCAGTATTACAATTAACTGATTATAGATATATAGGTGTAAAATTAGTTCTAAACGTCGACACATAATATGGTTGAGTGTTGACATTAAGGCATCAAGCGCCACTTGTTAATTATTATTAACAGCTGTTTTACATAGTCACTTTGTAAATCAATCTGAAAGCCGTTTATTATAGGGCGATGTGCAACCAGTATATCTTTAATCTTGATTCTTGGCTTCGCGCCACTACCGTCGCGTTGGATAATAAATATTAAACAATATAAAATCAATGATGTATAACGATACTTATAGGTAGTCATTAAAAACGTTAATTATAGAACTAAGTTCCAGTAGAGTGATTTGTAAAGCTTTATAAACTAACTAGGTAGTTATAATTTTTCAAACAAATTTGAAAAATAAATATCATTGTTTAATGTTGGAATAAGCAGAACATTAATCACTATTATAATATTATGATATTATATGTAAACAGTTATTAGATTGATTCTTAGACTTTAAAACTGCAGTGTGAATAATTTATTGTATAAAAAATTACTATTATAAATATAATTGTTATGACTATTATAGCTTTGTGTTAGTTAGAAAATCCAATTAAAATACGCTACATTTGTGCTAATAAATTGGGAGTGCTAAACAACCCTTCGCCATATCCCAAGTCTAGTTGCGTCTATGGTTTAATAGAGTGTTTTCGTCTAAATCCAAACCAAAAGTTTAGAAGGCTGTTATTCACGTGAATAATGATAGACAGGTTAGATGTTATCCACTTAGTATATAATTCGTAAAAGAGACTAGTAATGTGTAGGGAATCTGTAGAATGATTGATTTTCATGTGCCGCTAACCGGGTTTAAATATAGCTTAATAATTATTGACGATTTCCGAGTTTCTGGTAAGTAGGATGGTAACTCAAGCGATACGTCATTATTTTAGATACACGTGTCAAGTGCTTAACAATGTATTATAACAAGTACCTATATTATTGTTTGGATGGCCACATTTATAGCCACAATGTATTCGCTTTTGAGAGAGGGATTAGGGGGAAGGATTTAGAAGATCATTATAATATTTATAAATACAAATACTTTTAATATTAATAATTAATTGTTTTGATTGTAAAGAAATTTAAGTTTGCGCCAAAAAGAAAGTTGCATGTTTAAACCTCGATTTTCAATAAAAATGAAATTGTTTTTCCCAATAGATTATAATTTTAAATAAATTATACCTATTTATGTATAGTGAAAATTATGATAAAAAATTAATAATACCAGTTTCTTTGTCATGGCATTATTTAGTGTGGGTATATACTGGGTTTAGGTAGCTTTGATCTTTTTTTATAATACCTACCAGTATAGGTAACTATTACTCAGTAATTTCGAATAACTTAAAAAAAAAAATTAATATGTATGTTTGGTAAACAATTTTAGGTACTATAATACATAGTCTGATAATCAGCCTTACGCACGTAACGTTAAAATTAACAGAAAAAAAATATCCTAGGAAAAAAAGTAACCCAAAAAAGCTCTGTAGCCAAAAACAATATTTTGATTCGGGATTTAAATATTCTTTGATTAATTTAAATTTTGTTTTTCGACCACGAATCCAATTTTATCGTGAATGAAAATAACAACAATGAAAATGAATTCTACAAGCCATTCAAAATCTAAATAAAATATATTATTCAATTTTTTTTTGTTTTTAGTTAATTTAAAAGACATAATTTAATTAGTTTTCCCCACATAGCTTAAAATATCTCCTTTAATTTTGACTCTAATAAAGCATATGCCCCAAGGACAAAATAATATTTTTCAAATACATTTAAAGTATATACAATTGAACAAAATTGTACTTGGGGACGTATAGTTAAGCGTACCATCACCAAAAACTTTTCCGTATCTTCTGATTATTTTACTTAGCAAAACGACTATATGAAAAATTATAATATAAATACATTTTTAAACATTACTCAAAGTTTCAAAGAACAGTTAAAATTGTATTGATTTTATTCAAACAGACAAACGGGTTGCAGATAATTTCGTATCGATTATAAAATATTCGTCGTGATATTCTATACCTAGTGACGAAAATAAAAATAAGAAGCAAATAAGTCGATTAAATAAAAGTATGAGGGAATTCGTTAAAAAAAATTAAGAAAACAAGTGTTAGCTATTCCTTTATTTAGCTCTGCCTTTTATGAGTGCAAATGCAAATCCATTCAATAACTTTTTTTAGTCATGTACTAATTTGTCTGTCGAAGTTTGGTTATTTAAGTGCACAATATTTTTTGACAGTCCAAAACATGAGTTTTCCTACTTAAACCACCTGCCCAAAAATACAATTTTGTCCGTAACGTACACAAGATGAATCTGGAAGACATGGCATCCACAAACGTAATTTCAGCGTGTAAAACAGTTAAAGACCTACACTCTCCAGATACATCCTGCGATTCGTACGTGTTCATTTTAATTCAAGCGTTAACGCAATATATGAATGAATATTAAATATTATAAGTATATTCTGTTCACCGTACATTGCACAGTAGATGGCACCATGGTCGTGGACATTGTGCGATTTGGGTCGTTAGTCACAGACCGTCTGAGAGACACCGCCCTCCTGTTTGACACAACACTGCGACGGATTATCGGAACCGCGGACAGTGTGTAAAGCACCGGGTTTACCGCCGCGTTCAAAGGCAACACGAAAACAGCCACCCAAGCGAACACCTAAAAATATAAAATATATAACTTGAGCCGATTATGCGGATTAACGCGGGTTTTGCGTTTTAAATATTTTGATGAAAATAAAAATTTATATTTAAATACATTTTAACAGTAGGTGCCTACCTAAATGTTAAGATGTCTGCATGAATATAATATTATATTGATATGAATAATAACGAACGGTATAATATCCTGTATACCTAATGTACCTATATAATATATAATTAATTGATACTTATTCAATATTTAATTCGAGTCTGTAGTCTGTATTAGCCACTAGGTAACACAAAATAAAATTATATCCCAAACCAGTGGCGGCGATCTTATATATAAGTTACACAATTTGGAGGGTGAGTTGGTGGGTGGTTGCATGTTGGGTGATTATTTATTATACTATGACTAATTATTGTAACATAATTAAAAACAAAACAATACTTAATACAAGTTTTGAAATAAATCATTTTTAGACTTTGATTCTTGCTATTTTAGATTCGGAGCAAAGTAATATGCCAATTTTTGACAAATTCGATTTTGTTTTTTTTTGAGTAACTCAAAAACGATTGACCGTCGATCCTTTAAATTTTCCCCAGATGTTAATTATAGTATTTTATATACTTGATAACATTTTAAAAACATTTTGATACTTTAGAAGCTTAATAGTAATGAAACATTACCGATTTTCTAAGTTTTTTTTCAATAATTGTCAATAAATAATTTCTTTCAAAGTTAAAATTAACAATTTTGAAAATTTTTTTGGCAAACTTGTTACTCGACGGGACCCTTAATTATCTAGCTTAGTTTTGAAGTTCGTTCGAAAATCCTTCCACCACAAAAGTAAAATTTGTATTAAAAACGTCATCAATGTCACCAATACCTATAAGTTCGAAAAAAAATAACATTTTCCAAATTTGTATTATATCAACGTATAGTTCGCCATTCAAATAAACAGTAAATCGCAGTTTAAGTCGTCAAAATAAACTATTTCCTTTTAAAAATCTAAGTAACATAATATGTCATTTTAAATACTGTTTTAAATTCATTTATAATTGTCTATTGACTATTATATATAATGTTTCCTTTAATAAAATACAAGTGAAAGTGGCAAGTGCGTAAAAGCTGTAATTGAAGGGTAACCGACAGGGAAAAGACCCAGATGAAGGCCAAGTAAGCAATGGATAGATCATAGATGTGGTGAGAAAGGCTTTGAAAAAACTGGATGTAACGAATTGGGAAGATAAAATTCAGAAACAAAAAGATTGGAGTACAGACAGTGACGGCAGTAGCCAAAATTCTTACAGATTTGTGAAGCCAAAGAATAAAAAAAAGATGTATATATAGTGCGGAGGTAGTCACGTATTTCGATGCGATATTATATACGGGAAGGGAAGGGGGTGAGTAGTCATGACCAAATTTAACCAAAATTATTTTCTTATAGCAATGAAAAAAGTGAGGGGGTCCTACATTAAAAATATAAATATTTTTTTCTTACCTCTATAAATAAGGACCACCCTAATATATATATAAACACAATATACGTTTAAGATAATCACGTTGTATATTTTTACTTGTGGGTGCACGGTGAATCCAGCCAAAGACCATAATCCTAATCCTATGATGGGCACCCAGCACGCGGCGTCCGTAGCCACCAACAGACTCATCCGCCAGGCCATTGCAGACTCGCTGAGGGACCGGTGGCGGATTAGGGTCTCGGTGGCGCGATGAGTCATCTTGGCGACGAAAAACATCCAAAGATAGCTTCCAGATATCAAAAGCAGCGATCCCAGATTAACAACTAAAACACGTTCATCGAATTCGTACATGAAAACGGTTAGGCGAATTATTACGTAGGCACAACTGCAGTAGAATTATTTAAAAATAATTAAATAAATAGATGTAACGTTTACATAGAAATATGAATACAGAATACTCCCAGCCGTTGGGTTTGTCCGGAGTGATGTGTAAGGCTAAACACACGCCAGATCGTCCATAAAAATTTCTGAAAATGAATAAGTAAACCGTATAGATAGGTACATGGGTATAATATATAATTTTACATAAAAAATAAAATAGTTCTATCTTTGTGCTAGATTTTGTTACAGTTTGACAAAAATAATAAACTATCACTATTTTCTCAATAATATGCTTACCTGAAATAATGAATGTTGAAGAGAGGAATAGCAGATATAATTATTGCTAGCAACCAACACACAGCCATCAGTATGCGTGTAAAATCCATTTCCAAACGTCGGACTTTGAACGGAAATATGATTACCAATAACCTTTCCAGTGTGATCACTATAATATGTTTTGAATATATTATAAATAAATCAAATAACAAAGGTATATAAATAAATAACACGTAGGTCTTATTGTATAAATATCAATAATTATACAGTCTTTTATAGATCCTGTCAGCTATTTTTTTTTTTTTAAACTCACGTGGAAAACAAAAGGCGTAACTATAAAATTCTTTCAAAATTCGAACTCAATAGAAATTATGCCATTGTTCTTCAGATCTCAATTTCTTCAAAAACATTTCATGTAATATCGTTTATACTTCGTCGCCGATTCAATCATTATTTATTTAATATATTTTTAGCTTACTATTTTATTTGCTGAATATTAAAACTAAAAAGTATGTTTTTACTTTTTATACAATGAGTTTTTGTTTCTCCAGTCAATTAAAAATATGTTTATTTATTTAAGCTTTCAGTAATATTTGTTTAAATTGTCATGTTTTTGTTATTTTTTTTATGCAATTAAAAATGCATGGGCATTATAGTGATAATACACTATACAGGTAATTTAAAATTTTTAAGTGCAGTAAATGTATATTTTAATATTTGTTTAGATAATTAAGTAAACGACTGTTTTTAATTAAAAATTAACAAATACATACTCTTTAACTTTGAGCTTAAAGCATTTTAATACGAAATGGTTCAAATTATATCCTCATTGGAGTGTACACCAATTTCAATACAACCCGATACTTCACGTATGCTACAATTTATAAAATGTATTTTAAGCATTTCGATATAATGATTAATGAATGATTATTTATTTCATAATAGATCATAGATTTTATTGTGAGCTTGAATTGCATTAAATTTTGTTTATATTTTAATTTTAATTTAAAATCTATATTATTATATCAAACTTTAAACAAAACGTAAAAAATTATTAAAAAAATGATGGTGTTGATATAATTTATTTTACATACATACCAAGAATATAAATGTAAAATTTAATTTCTTATGTTTATATTTATTGGATGGAAATGGACGATAGATGTGGACAGCCGGTACAGCGAGGTACGGATAATTACTGATAGGTAGGTATGCGTTAATTGTTTTGTAGGAAAATAAATAAAATCGTCTCAAACAGCAAAAGTGTAAATTTGATTTTTTTTAAGTATATTACATTTTTATGGAGTTGTTATAGCTGTTGCAGTCCAGTACCCAATATAATATTTATCCTAAGCAATTATACACCTCATAATATTTTAAAGGCTGTACGAGAACATTGTTTTTATATTTAATATTACATTTACAAGACCTTTTTTATGTACGGTTCGAGATCGGTAGTAGGTCTGTAATTCGCCATATCGGAGCATTTTGTGCCCACTACGATACAAATTGTAGTACAAACGGAAATGTGTTAGAGCATTATTCGAAACTAAAACATATTTTAAAATGGCTGTGCAAAAGAAACTAAAACCAAACAATGTCTTTTAGTGTTTTAACAGGTAATTCATTTTATTTTGAAATGGAGCTGAAATGCATAGGCAAAAATCGTCTGTAAATACTGAGGGTGCTTAAGGATCGAGCAAAATACACTATAAATATTAATAAAAACCCCATTCGTTCATTGTTTGCAAATCTTTTAAAAATTATTAGGCAACAAAATATGAAATTAAATACCATAAAGGGGATTAAGTAATTTGTGAAATAGTGATTACCTATATCTAATTTTCGAATATGATAATCATTATAATTAACAACGTACAAATCGATTTTTTTGATTTTTACGTGTTGGAGATCCGTACGATTTTCATTGGAATTTTCACAATGTACGATAGAATCCCTCTACCCACCAAACCCAAACGATGAACTAAGTGCACTTGAATTGTTCAAATAGTTATTGACCACGAAGCACCACTGCGATTTCCGGGCTATACGGTACACCGTTGTGTATAACATTATATCATAATATACTAGCTTCATAACACTAATTTGGCCACAAAAGATTAACAAACATAAATGCTATATAAATGTATCTCGGTTTTAGTATACCTCAGTTCACGGACAAAAATCGGCATCGGTGTACGTCCGATTGTTAACTAATTCGACCGAGATGGGGAATTCACCGGATCTGTTGTGGATCGGTATATTTCCATACGTGGTTCAAACTACTTTCTAAACTTTCATGATATCTCACAAACAATCTTTGAAACTTTCGTCAAGTATAGCTTTTGAATCAATAACCTACACACATTAGGACATTGCCTTTTGTTGTACATATTTAAGAGTAGTGATCAATATATTTATTATTTGAAAAAATCCCATAGCAATTTATGGTGGTTGTGGTTCGGCTAGTCTATATCAATTTCTTCTGTACCCAATAATTATAAAAAAATATTATTCGATTTTTATGAGCCAAAACTAGATTCTCGTGTGACCACCAGTTTCTACAGCAACTTAGCTACAGTACTCCCTCGTTAACACGAACTCGGTTAACACAAATTATTGGATAACGCGAACCGGATTTTCTGTCCCGAGAAAGGCTCTATACTATAAGATAGGGTTTTTTTTATTTCCTCTGTTTATACGAATTATTTCGGTTAACACAAAACTCGAACAAATTTTAGGTACCATATTGTCGTTTTGTTGATTAACACGAATAGAAAAATGCCAATATGTACATTATGTATCTATTTTCGTTTTATTACTCATATAGTCGTTTAATCTTTATAACACAGTTTTATCGATATCTTATCTTATCCCTACTATGTACATTATATTCTCTATTGTAGGTACATATCACATATGTATAGTGTATACATGTGTACATTTGTATGTGTGCAATCTAGTTCGGCGGTAATCGCTCTCGTTTAAACTAATAATTGCTCTATCGATCAGTTGGTCAGTTGACTTTGTTGGTGATTTATTGTGTATGCATAGCTGAAGTATTGACCAAAATGAGTTTAAAACCCCGAAATCTCAGATCAAGAAATTGAACCTACTGAACCTCCAGTGGATAAACCCTCTCGTGCTGATGTGTTGGCAGCCTTTGATACCCTCTTCAAATTTTCCCAAACCAGTGCAGAGTTAAATTGCAAATTTGATGACCAATTGAACAGCATCAGAAAACAGTGCTTAGAAAACTATGAAGTTACATTCACCCAGAAATCTATCACTGGCTTTTTAAACCGACGTGAGTTTTAAATTAATTTTTTTTGAAAAAATGTATTAAAAATATTTCTTTCTATATGTAATGTAAAAACCAATTATTCTTCAAGGCATTGGGGAAGGCGTTCGCCCCCACTGCCCCCTCCATCAAATACGCCACTGATGGACAATAATATAATGTATAGTAATGTATTTTATAATAACTCTGCGCTTACCGGTTAACGTGAACACGGAAAGCTCGCTGGAAAACGTGCTTATAAAACCAGCCACGTTGCACATGGAACTCCGTCGCCAGTCCGAGTCGTGAATAAAGTACACGCCGCGGTAGTACCAGTCGACCACGGCGATCACCAGCAGATACGAGCCCATCAGGAAGTCACCCAACGCCAAGTTGACGATGAGGAACGAGTGCACCTGGTTGGTGTGCTTGTACTTGGCCCGGAACACGATCACCAACAGGTTGGCGGTGATCGCAACCACGGCCAGAATCCAAATGCATACCCTCAACACGATATTGGACATCAGGTCCTCGCACGAGCTGAACTCGTCGGGCAGTGGTTCGCACTGTTTCACGTACCGGGCCAAGCAGCAGAAACGAAACTCGTCGGTAAACCTGCATGCGTGCCGTAAGCTTTTATCACGGGTGTGTATAATATATAGGTACCTACTGCCAGTGCAAAAGTAACTCAAAATATGCAATTTATTCAGGAGGGGTGGTTTTCTAAGTTTTTGGTTTTATTTCCGTTGACAGCAACTAACAAGTATGTTACTTTGAATTCAAAATATTATTGTGTTTGGAAATATATTTTTTAAAATCGATGTGCTTTATACAAATGTTTTTCATTTTCCTATGAATACTTACAAACGGTGTCTTTTTTTAAAAACGTATTTTACTTTTTTCTAGAATATTTAGAGATATGACCGCCTTATTGAGTTATAATATATTTTGTCGATACTCTCTTGAATCTTTATATTATCATGTATAATATTCATTATAATCATTAATCGTCATAATGTTATACACCGTATTACCGTACAATTATAACATGCATAAAAGCATTGTGATAAAATATTTAGTTAAAACAATTATACAAAGTTATAAGAGCTAAAATGATTCATTCAACCATTTGTCTGGAACTCATTTTTTATATTATTTTACTTAGGTACCTAATAAAACAAGACCATCTGTCTTAAAAATATTATATTTGATAATGGCTATATTTCAATGTATATGTCGATATGTATAGAGGATATATCATGGCAGGTATATATATTATATCCAGCCTTGGTCTCAGTGCAAAAGTTTAATAATTGATGATTTTACAGTTAATTATAAA